TTCCTCAAGGGAGACACGTACTGAGCGTTTTAGTTAAACTTAACCCCCCCTTTAGACGGCACTCCCGTCTCCCGTTGTTTGTGTGGTGTGTGTGTGTGTGTGTGTGTGTGTGTGTCGTGTGTGGTGTGTTGTGTTGTGGTGTTGTGTGGTGTGTGTGTGGTGTGTGTGTGTTGTGTGTGTGGTGTGGTGTGGTTGTCGTGTGTGTGTTGTGGTGTGTGTGTGTGTGTGTGTGTGGTGTGTGTCGACACTTCGTTGTCTACCTTAGTTGTTTGACTGAATGATACATACTCATTCCCCCTAAACATCTTCAACACACACAAACATCGTATCATGTATCTTTAACAGAAGTTAATTGTTCTTATCGCTTAATGGCTTCCCTGAACTTCCCTTCACCCCAAAGTCAGCTTACTAGGAATTAATACATTTTATTGATAAGCTCAAAAGGACCTTTATCTCATTTACTGCTGGGTGACCCAAGTCTCAAGGCCTCTTTTGGGGTCTGTAGGAGATAAATCATTAATTCTACAAGGCTTCAACTGTCTTGTATCTGAGGCACATCTCCCTTTGGGCTAATCAATACGGGTTTTAGCAATTAGCAGAGGAAGCTAGAGACTCAGGGCCCCTTCCTTGCTGGGAACTGCAAAGCAGATGTCAAAGGTCATAAAACCACCCTTTTGACTACACATGAAAAGTGGAAGAAAAGACTATTGCTTTAATTTATTATTACTAAGTAGTGGGACATTGTTTCAGGAATATATGAAAAGCCTCTCTATTATTTAAACAGTAAAAATGTACTTTCAAATTTAACACCCACGAATATATAAGGTGACATTAAAATGAATATACCAGATTGAACTTTCCTGCCATAACACGTTACTTTAATACTTCAAATAATTCAAATAATACTTCACTGAGCACAAGACACGATAACATCAAAAATAGCTGTATAACACCAAATGTAAGAAAAGGCTTTGCCTAAACCAGCATCTGTAGCACTCCACACACTGTTGTGCAAAAGAAAATCTTCAAATCATCGTAGTCAGTTGTACATAATGTGTTTGCTGCTTCCTCTGAAACATCTGAAGAATTGTTATTTCCTTTTTTCATTATTCTCACGAAAACATAATGGCAAGGTCATACACATTTATTAAGGGGAGAATATCGTATATTCACTCAGTACACACCACAACCATGTAGTCTTCATACACGAAGAAACTGTAGGCACTTTGGAGCACGGGCTGCAACTATGTGGACATAAAGACAAACAAAAAAAATCCATCTAAAATCTATATATACAACATAAATATGTACGTGTAAGATCATAAAAATAGCCTAAAATTCTGTGTTTTTCAAAATATACTTTAAGTTTCTAGTGAATTTGTACACACCATTTTACGTAAAAGTAATGTTAGCAAGCGCCAAGGTATAGTTTCTTGTATATTTTTTATCGGGGTGAATTCATATCCGTAAAAACAGTCAAACATAACTGTAAACCAAACATAATGCTTTACTTCAAATAAGAAGTTGCAGCGTTGAGTCATTCTTTCCATCTTTTACATGCACAGTGATTAGCCTGTGAGGATAAAAACCCATTTAAATGCATTGAAACTCAAAAAGCCCAACTCGAAGCCTCATTCTTTAAAGTAACACTAATAAATAAATACGGTTTTTTTCCACTGAAATTATAACTGTTGGTGCGGTTCAGCGCTTACAGAAAGTTTCTTGCTCAACATTGGGGTTTCGGTCGAAGAGTTCATCAATGTGTTGATTACTGATAAATGTTCTTACGCAGTCACAATGACTTGATATCTGGTACGATCTTCATTCCCCCTTCCCAAACGTCATTATATTAATCTATTTTACCCAGGCGATCTTCATTGGCTACGGTCCAGGATTCAAAGAAAACGCTGTTGTGCCCCCCTTTGAAAACATTGAGTTGTATAACCTCATGTGTGGTAAGTGTTCTTTATTTAACTCTCCTGTACTGCAGCTATACTGTAGCATTACTTTATTCGTTTTTCTTTTTTAAAAGAGTTATTTTATATTTTGGGACATAGGCTTATTGAATTTCTTGACTAAAGTTTGACAAACTTAACATTTTTGAGATCATGTTGAAATGACCGTGAAAACATTTGGTATTTAATTCCATTCTTCTTTTTTAAGAGGTCTAAATAAGTATTATATTTAACCTGTTGAAAGTGCAGAACCCGGCTCCCGTAGGTTTCATTTCTCTTAGTTTACTTTACTAAGCAGGTCCATTGTAAAAGATGCAGTAACACAGTATGACACAGCTCAGAGGAAACAGGTGCACTTCTGAACTGAATTTAGAGGAAGTAAATAATGAGCAGTTACATCAACCACATTTCAGGGAAAAGGGAACTTAAACAAACAGATAACGACCCCCCCCTGGCTGTGATAGAGACACTTGTTTAAGACATGCATGACATTAGTATTGCAGTGGAAAGCTAAATCTGCTCACTATTAAAGGAAGTATGGTACTCTGGGTCAAGAAGATCCATACACAACAAATCAACAAAATCTATCCAATAGCACATATTATTTACAGACAGTTTTCACCTCTTTACTTCCAAGTTATGGTGGTGACTGTGACTTACTTATTGAAAAAAATCTGGGACATCGTGTCCTGCTTAAAACTTCAGGTAGGAGAAAATCCCATTGAAACATGGGGCCGTTTTAATGCATTCCAGACCCTGTGAAAGCTTTATTATTAGGTGCAGCTTAACTACATCACACACTGTTCACTCTATCACTGTGAAGTGTCAGGTGGTATTCAATATGTGTAACTTGCTGGGCAGGCATTTTTAAATTATTCGTATTAATATTCGTTTGGGTTAATACGTTGCTATTGTATACTCATACTCATCAGCACTGTAGATTTTTTTGTTTGAAAAATCGATGAAAGATTTTTATGTTAAATAAAAACGCCTTTTATATAGATTACATTGACATTTGTCAAAAACGTTTTTGCTTAAATACAGTAGTTTAAAATCTGTATGTTATGTTACATGTTTTGACAGTTTGTTTTATGTTTTGATGTTGTGTTTTGATGTGTATATGTAGCTGTGTGTTCCTTGTTTTACACCATGTATTCTCCTTTTTATCGTGATCTCACTGTGAAGCACTTTGTGAATCCTTTCTGTGAAAAGTGCTATATAAATAAACTTTACTTACTTACTTACTTACATCATAGGGATGTCACTGAGTCCTTCTGTATGGTCCCTCATTGTATAAGAGGTGTTTTAACTGTCCGTAATGATGACTGAATTAACTAAATAATAGTTGTTAAAAAACATGTATTTTCTTATAGCATTATCTGTTGTGACCCTGCTGTGTTACATCCAGTCTGTGTGATACAGGTTTACACTTTTTCTCTCTTCCTCCTCAGACCTCCTGCTTATTCGTCCCTCTCCGAACAACGGGACTCACGGCAGCCTGAACCACCTTCTGAAGCGTCCCTTCCACCTGCCGGTCAACCCAGCGCAGCTCTCATACGACACCCCCTGTGAGACCTCTGACCCCGCCCCCACCGACCTGCATTGCTCCTGTGCGTCCCAGGACCAGGCCACGGTACGTGAGAACCATAGAGTTAATATATAAGGTGCTAACAAGTTATTGAGGTCATGGTATTGTCTGTCTGTCTGTCGGTTAGTCCACCACTTTAGTCATGTTTGAAATATCCAAAAAATATTGGATGGATAACCAGGTAATATGTTGCAGACATTCATGTTCGCAGAGGATAAATGCCACAGACTTTGGTGATCCTATAAAGGTCCATCTTCTCCCTCATGCTTTTTCATACCTACATAATGTATAATTTAAGGCTTGGGTATTTAAGAGAGGGAAAATGAGGATATCAGATTGGTATCAACTGATACTCATCATTTCGGTATAGGATAGGGTAGGAAATGAACAAGTGGTTTTGAACTATCCCTACAAATTAGCAAATGTTAGCACGTTGACGTGTTGAACTAAGATATTGAATATGGTTAACATGGCCTTCTTAACATCAGCATGTTAGAAATGTAATTCTGAGCATGTTAGCTGACGTTAGCATTTAGCTCAAAACCCAGAGTGCCGATACAGCCTACATGACTGTGGAATTGTTAACTTGGATTTAATTTATTAAAGACAAGCATACTAAAAATACTTGATTTCTAGGAGACGGAACTCAACAGAAAACTCATAGCAACTAATTCCAGTGAGTATCATTTAATTTTTCTTTGCATTTTAAATGTTCTTGAAGGAAAGCACGATGCGACTTGTATACATCTTGCCTTTTAGGTGTTAAAGCCATCTTACACTACCACCACCATCACTTTGGCATCCCCAAAGTCGTCCAATCAGGCGCCAGCTTTTGTCTCCTCCACCAATCCAACTACATCAATGGATACAGCAAAGACCGCCTGATGCCCCTGTGGGTGTCGTACACCCTCGAGCCTCTGGTGAGTCGTCTTTTACCTCCAAACATAGCCCATGCAGTGGAGGGGACCCGGCTGTTTTTCTGCTGCGGTCAGGGCACGGCAGGAGAGGTTGTTTAGTATCTTGAATCTCTTCTCCAAGCAGCTGTTACTCATCTTCTGTGCTCATGTTAGCTCAAACTCTTCTTGTCTTTCTCATTACGCGGTTGAGGTTAAGTGTAAATCATGACTTCAGGCAGAGTGATGCATTCCCGGGAGAGTTTACAATGTTGTACTATTCTGTCTGCATGATGGAGCGTGTGAGGGTTTGTTTTCATTCTGGCGTTATCCAAATACAGTGAAGGCTGAGTATGGTTGTACTCTATCCTCTGTTCATGTTGCCCTGGATACAAATCATGGTTTAGTTATTTTGTCGATGTATTTGTTATAAAATACGCTATTATAATCAACCAAGAGAAAACTTCCAATTCCACAGCTTGTCCAAGTCAACAACTCCATATGAAGCTTAACATATTTAAACACGTTTCCTGTAAATGGCTATAAGAACTGGTACTTATATATAGGAAATAGGATTGTATTATAATACATATAGTGTGTAAATATTCATTCATTAATCAACAAAGTCCGGAAATTCCACTGACACGGACTCTTATCCTCTACAGACACTGTGTTTCACATTAATGTACATCATGTGAGAAAAACTTGTTAATTTAAATGAATTTTAGTGAAACGTGCACATTCCTCTGTATATGTATTACATTTGTGTACACTGCTACCTCCTTTTAAAAAACACTTTTCATCTCTAAACTTTAAATTCTGGTATACTAGACATATTTTATTAATTTCTTTCAGAGTAAATTATTTTCATTGTACTTTCAATATTGATATTTCTTGTAAACATTTCCCCTTTTTTTATGTAATACAATAGGTCTATATTGCTCCTTTTTTTCAACTGAATTTTCCCTACTGTATGCAGCATTATACTCCAAAGCTAATTCCTTGAATCCCTCTGTCCTCTGAGTCTGATTTAGATATGTATGATTGCTTGTCTATTTTATCCATACTAGCAGTGTGGCTCAATCAATGGTTATATCTGACCGTCATCTGCTTACATAGATTATTATTTTAAGGGAGGGCTCTGCAGAAACGTTGCAATGCCCTCAGTGACTCTCCAGTCACTCTTACACAACACACACTAACACTGACCGCTCCACTCTCAGACCACAGTCCGACCCCTGAGCCCAGAGTTCGAGGAGTGTGTTCGTGCTGACGTCCGCACCCCCACGGCCGCCAGCCAGCTGTGTCCGCGCCAAGGAAACCACCCAAGCCTGTCCTTCGGCCTGCTGCATCCCCCCAGTGAGTGTGTGTGTGTGTGTGTGGGTCATAACACGGTGTCCCCAGCCAGGTGTTGAATTCAAGTTGACGTGTTTCAGAGCCACAATCTAATGTAAAAATGCTCCCATGCTTTTGGTTTGCAACAATAAAGAGACTCCCATCCCCCTCTTTTTATTCAGACGCTGCAGATTCAGTGTATGCTAATGAAGAAAAGGACAGGGTGAAAGAGAGAGGTTAAATCTCCTCAACAGCTGTGTGAAAGCTGTACTCACTAAAATTAGACATTTTATTTTCCGGTCATAATTTGTCCTGCAGGCTTAGATTTGTGCAGTTTCGTGATTTTACATCTGCAACAATTGTGCATTTATTTATTTGCATCATTTTAAGCATTTATTTGAACAGTTAAATAATAGTTTAAGCCTTATTAAAAGAAAAGTTGCCAAATGTTTGCTCCATGCAGCCTCTCTGTTGTAAATCTTTTTAGATTTTCAAAATGTTAAATGATTGTAAATTACATTTCTTTGTGGTTTGTCAAACCAGACATTTGGTAAAATTAACTAGAATATTTTTAAATGTTTTGCGCATTTATGAGGCAAAATGATTCATAGATTTAAAAAAGTTATGAAGGCAGTATGATTAATAATTAAAGCAGAAGTTGTTTGCTACACCTCTAGACTAAGACAATCTTAATTCCTTCTTTTAACAGGACATACATCAGACTTTTACAACATGCAGTTAATGTTTTAAATCCAAACCCAATTTGCAAACACATACATTTTTCTCACTCATTTTCTCTCTATAGATCTGGGTGCCAACGGAGCAGAGACAGAATCTCTAATCACGAGCAACATGGTACCAATGTTCCTTGCATTCAAAGGTGAGTCAGTCTTCAAAAATATGTATCGACTCCTGGTTTCCTAGCTGCACCTAAACGTGGAATCAATAAATCAATCAATGTTTATTTACATAGCCCAATATCACAAATGTTACATTTGTCTCAGTGGACTTCAGAGTTTGTACAGAATATCAGTATGACAATACGACACCCTCTGTCCTTGGACCCTCACATCGTACAAGGAAACACTTCCAGAGAAAACCCACAGTTTAAAGGGGAACATGGGAGAAACCTCAGGGAGAGCAACAGAGGAGGGATCCCTCTCCCAGGACGGACAGACATGCAATAGATGCCGTGTGTAAATCGAAGAGATAATACATTTTACAGCGTAGACCAAATGTTTGGAAATGCATGTGTCTGTAATAAGAGGATCAATCCAGGAGGATGTCAACAATCCTGTGGGAGCCATCAGGGAAGTAGTATGATGAGAGTCAGGCAGGACCGCAGAGACAGGTTCAGCCACGACTCGAAATCCAGGACTCAGGATCCAGGACTCAGGATGCAAGACTCAGGATGCAGGACTCAGGATCCAGGACTCAGGATGCAGGACTCAGGATGCAGGACTCAGGATCTAGGACCACAGCAACAGGATCAGCAACGATTCAGGATCCCGGCGTAGATAGACACCAAAAAGACATTTGGGGGAAGCTGGGTTATTCGGAGCATGACAGTACACAGGTACAGACAGAGAGAAGGAAGAAGTAAGGTGTCCCCCGATAGTCTAAGCCCATAGCAGCAAAACTAGGGGCTGAATGGAAATGGGATTCATGGTGATGCACGAGTTAAAAATGTAATTTCAGAAATGTCAGATAGGGTTCATTTGCACACTGAGTGAGAGCTATTGAGCTGAATGAGAGCTGAACTATTTAATTAACCGTGAACTAAAGAGACACCGGAGCACAACTAGTCATTATGTCATGCTGTTTTCTGTGTTAAACATTCCAGTTTTCAGAGAGCAGGTATTGTGGTTTGTCTGTTCTCGTAAGCCATTTTTATTGCTCAATATTGTCTCTATATTTTTCTCTAAACTATGGCTATACTTTTGGTTCTCAAATACACATATAATAAGAGCCCAACATCTAACTGCTGTGATTACACAGGATTACTGTACTTGCATTTACTCTTTCTGTAAAGCACAATTAAAGGTTTGGTAAGATTTTCCAGAGTTAATCCTCCTGCCATCCTACTGCAGACCCACAGTTTATCTCACGATAAGATTCACTTTTAAGGTGGTCACCACTAATTCACCATGTGCTCACCAATGACAGAAAACATGACTACACAGGAAATCCTTGTGTTGCAAATTATACAAGAAATAGTATGAGTGCGTGTCTTGATTAATAGATGTGTGACGTATTGCTCACAAAAGCTTGTTGCTTAATTCTGCTGAAGAGTAAGTCTGTGCCTGCCCTTACATTTCCACTGTACGAAACTACCTGGGATATGTGATATCCTGTTAGGGTACAGAAAGATTTTATGACGCAACACTGCTATGCTCAGAAGCACTGATGAGTTGAAACTTGTTACCTTTTGTTAGCTGATTAATATCAAATCAACTCGGCTCTGGTCTGTTTCCACTGGGCCACCCACACTATGATGGAAACTCTGGCTCAGTAGCACGAGGTCCCGTTGGAAGGAAAACCCCGTTTTTTTCTCCGTGCTTCAGTTGCATGCTCGAGGCTTTCATACTAATCAGCTAGCAGATGCTGCCCCCTGCTGGCACATTGCTGTATATATACACTTTCAAATTGTGAGTTTATTAACTTAAATCTGAAACTAAAACAAAAAAACTCCACACGCTATATCCTGTTTAACTATTTATATATAATAAACAAACAACATATTGTTGATTAGTGAACTTTAGAGGTTATGGTAGGTTCATTATTCCTTCAAAGATTGCACTTGTAATTATGTTATCACTTTCTTTTAAAATAATTTAAATGTAAAAATGTTTTGGTGTGTCTTCTCCCTTATTGCAGATGTTTGGACCCATCTCCATAATGTCCTGCTTCCAAAATATTCCAAAGAGCTGAACGGAGTCAACGTCATGAGCGGGCCGATATTTGATGAAGACTACGATGGAAACGTTGATGCACTCAAAGCCATCTCAGGGTAAGTCAGCAACGCACACTCCACCAGATTCACACGGGCTGAACATTTTTTATTATGTGAGCAAATAATGTGCCTATTATTCCTACTGTGATTTGCTGTCAGAAAAAGTGGAAAAAGCACATTATATCCTCAGAGAGCCCAAAGTAAAATTTTGATTTAGCTTATAATTAATTGTTATTATATATAACAAAATTAAGCTGGACTTTGGGATTTAAGCCTTTTCAGACCATTTACATGCACTCAAACCTATATAACACACTGCAAGAAAGGGAAATCCCCCAAAAGCCTCATAGGTCCTCTAAGTCAGTGGTTCCCAACCTGGGGGGCGCCAAAGATCGCAGGAGATGATTTGAGGCCAAATATCCTATTTAGACTTTTTTTTAATTTATTTTTTATTTGTACATATAATTGTAACGCAATACATGATTGTCACTAAAAGCCTTGTCTATACATTACAATACAAAATTGATTCATTCATTTGAATAAAAATTCAAGTTAGTAGCTATTAAAGGCATACAAAGACAGAAATGTATAATTGTTTCTTTAATAGAAATGTTTCTTCTGCCCGTAAAGGTTCCAAACCAGGCTTTTCTGGATAAGCGCATTTTTAAAAACACAGTCATTGTCCATGCCAGTTTCAGTTGGATTATTTGTCACAGTTGCTCCGATCAGATCGGTCTCCTCCATTTTGTAGATTATTTACGACTTTTGAATCCACATAAACACTTCGTCAAAATCCGGCTTACTTTGAGCATGTGTTTTAAACAGTTTAATCCCTTTGTGAATTGTTTTGTGCCGTCCTTTAATTTCTTCATACAGCGGGAATCCAAATGAATTAATCCTGAGTCCAATAACCATCAAAGTCACTCCAATAGTGCTCCTTGATTACGCTTTCATCCTCCTTTAACAAAATACTTCACATTCATCCAGTTTGTGACAGTAGTTGTAGCATTTTTGAGACTTTTAAACTTTAATTACCGCTGTTGCGTCCCCCCCCCTTGTGTGTGTGTGTGTGTCGGGGGGGGGCGCGGGGGCAACTTCCAACAGGAGTCATTTTGGGTGGCCTTGGGAAACAAATCTTGGGAACCCCTGCTCTAAGTAACTAATTTTTATGAAGGATGAACATTACCAGCTTGTAATATGCAGTTCTTTTCCTGACAAATGAAATTTGGATTAAAAAAAGAGGCTTTCTATAGAATGGTGCATCCAGTTTTCTTGGAACCGCTGTGGATGCTCCGTGTCTCGCCAGGAATGAGGCTCCCGTCCCGACGCATTTCTTCCGTGATCCTGACGAAGCTGAGGAACTCCGAACCTTCCAGCCTGTTAGCTGGTCGGCTGCTGAGGGTCGAGTCGCCTTCCCTCCTCGCCCCACCCAGACCTGACTTACCGGATGAGCTGCGCGTGAGTAAACCCAGCTCGCTGCCCTTCTGCACCTACCTCAGTGGCAACAAAACTGATCAAACGACGCTTAAAGATCCACTATTTGTGCAAAATCCACTTTTCATGTCTTTTCATAGCATAAACATGTGTCTGCTCTGTGTAAAGAGATTCTGACGTTCAGGAAAAAAAAGATTCGCCGTCAACTTTTTGTGCCTGAAAAAAAAAAAAACCTGTCTGAAAATGAGCTGATCAGATTTTGGGCCAACTTTATGAATGTATACGATGATTTTGGTGGCTTGTGCTAACGCATTAGCCATCACCGAACCGAAGGTAAACAACCCCCGCCACCCTTATCACCTGAATACTCCCTCCTAGAAGCACCATTGTGTGTTCTTTTAACGCAAATACTCTGTCAAGGGGCGTGGGGAATGCCTCCTTATTTTATTCTAAAGTAACAGACACAGAATCAGCACTTGGAAACAGGGCTGAAACAGAGGGGGGATTATGGGATGCTTGGGGCAATGGTCTTTTCTGGTATTTGGAGGGCCGAAACA